TTTTGCATCTGAGCCCATTTGGATGCAGACAGTGGGATGCAAAGGCCAGTAACCTAATTTTTCCAGCTCCTGGAGCTTATGATACTCAGCCCCTCACAGGATTAGACCTCTAACTGACCTGTCTCCTTGCTGATCTGAGCACTTTAAGTTCTCTGCAGCAGTGGCAGCGCCCTGTTCCCCAGGTGGCATCTGGACAGTGCTTTTTGCAGAGCCCAGGAGATCTGGCACTCAGAGCCATCTGAAAGGGCTGCGCTGCCCCCAAAAACCCAGCCCCATTAGGGACTCCCAAGATGCAGCCCAAGCCACCCGCTCCGCCCTCGCCAGCCCAGCGCAGCCGTGCCGTTTTTATGCCCCGCTGGCACCCCGGCGGGCAGACGTGACGGGTGCGGTAGTGTGGATGGGGGTAGGTGCAGCTGGTATTTCATGTTCTGCTTGACGGGATTTGTTCTCCTGGCACCCACACTGCCCTCGAGAAGGCTGCCAAGGCCAAGCTCCCACTCCCTCACCCGCCACCAGCTGCAGCCGAGCTGTTGGGAGCTTCAGGCTGGTCAGAAGGGTGGCAGCAGCCCCAAAGAGGCTCCCAAGGTGGGAGGGGATCTCCCCCCAGGTACAAGGACTTTTCACTCTGCTTGTCGAGGTCTCCATGTCTAGTTATCTGCAGGGGATTCCTGCACCACGTAGCTCAGGTCCTGTTAGCAGCACTGACCTCAGTGCCGGCAGGGCAGAGCAAGCTGGCCCCACTCGTGGGAACCGTTCTGCGGCTGTTTTTTAGCGGGGCTCCGTCTGCAACTGCTCCACGATTGCAGGGCACACAGGCAGTCCTGACTGCAAAAGCCTTTCCCCAAACCACCTCTTTGCTAAGCATCTCTGGGAGAATATCTCCTCCAGATAGGGAAACCGAGGCATAGACAAGTGACAGAAGTTGCTTTTGGCCAAAAGAGAGCAGCAGCAGGCAGGCACTGAACCCAGGGTTCTTGAGTCCCCGACCCCAGCACAAACCAGTGTAAGTACATCCTCCACTAAGCAGGTGCTGCTGCAGAGCTGGATTGAGGTCCATGTTCCTATGCTTTTTCAGAACTTTGCAGCTCCCCTCCTGAAACCCCTGTTAGAGGCTCTGTTTTTCTGCTCAGCACAGGAGGGACAGGCTGACTCTGTGCCTAACGCAGTTCTCCACAAAACAGGCTGGCCTCTGTCAGCCACAGCATCTCCTGCCACTTGAAACACGTCTCCAAGGGAAACTGGGACCTCATTTCCTCTGCTAGGGGAGCAGATGAAGGATCTGGCCTGCAAAGAGAGGAGGGAGTTTAACAACTTATTTAGCTAGCTAACTCAGCTAAGCTGACTGACTTCCCAAAAGTGACCACCGTTTATGTCACTGGACTCGGCCCACTGGAGAACTCAACCCACGCAACAGCTCAGCTGGTGCAGGGAGGTGCCAGTCACGTCGTCTCAGGCCCAGTCTCACAGCGAATGAGCTCTAAAAGTGGAGAGATTCAGAGGCCCCTTGGGCAGATCGGAGAGCGAGCGGCTCACAGCGCAGATGGTTATCGAGGAGAGAGACCCTTCCCTAGGTGAAGCCAAGCCCCTGACATGGCAGAACCTGGGAAACACTGTGGTGAGGCCCACAGGTATTGTGGGTGCAGCCTACAGACTTCGTTTTCTTTCCTTCTACACTGGCTTTCCAGGGATATATCCCTGCCCTAAGTTGCGCATCAACGGAAGGAGACTAGAAACATTTGTTTCCTCCCTTCCTTTGCCTCTCCTCTGAAGAAAGCACTGAGGCTGAGGGGGCCACGTACACCAACTAGTGCCCCAAGGCACAACCATTTCTCTTCCAGAAGGTGAGATCCAGCAATTTCCAGCACTCAGCTAGAATATCTTAGTGAAAACATTGTTCAGTGAGGGAAAGGGGAACAGGGCCAGGCAGGAAGAGGCAAGATGTGCAGATTCCACCCTTGTCTCCTCAGAACACCTTGGCCTGCTCCACACCCTTGCCTGTAGCCATGACAGCTTTCCATAGCCAAAATATCAGCTCTGATTTGACGTTTTTCTTCACACACCACACAAAAATCATCCCCCAAACAGCAGAGCCTTCTTGCCCAATCATGTGGGAGCAGTCACTTAAGATTAGTAATGTGGAGGTCTGGTAATATTTCCCACACTGCACCTCCTTCTCCCAGCTCTATGTTTCCTTCTCCCAAAGCTCCTCCAGGGAAGTTCAATGCACAGGAGCTAAGGACAGTCGGTGCCACCCGTGCCCTGCCCTCAGCATCGTTCTAAGGGGAACGGTGACATGTTTTGTTTAGAAACAAAACACATAATTTCATACTTCCATTGAAAATGCTTTGCAAGAGCTGCCTCCCGCCTTTCCAGAAAGCACATCTCAGGCCTAAGCTCTGTATCTCTCTATGCTAAGGTGACAAACATCTCATTTCAGAAGACATGAAACAACACCAGGCTACATTATGTGATGGAGAGGGCCCATAATGGATTGTGAGATGGAAGAATGAAGAAGCATGCCACCAAGCAGGGCTCTATCAACCATGAAATCCAGTAGGTAAGTGCACATTCAGCTTTGGGACAACATGAAAGCCCTTTCCCTAGCAGACGACCCGCTACACTAGGCATAACATTAATTAAATCACAAATCAAAACGGCCAGAGGAGTACTTTCACCGTGGTGTTGAGGAACCTAATTCAGGGACTGTTCCATGATAAACGCACTGGCCAGACTTTCCACCATAGCCATGTCTAATGTTCCTACAGGAGATAGTACTTGTCCTCAGCTGCACTCTAGCTTGGTCATGTCTCAGGGAAAGCCTTGTTAAGCACCAAGAGGTGATTCAGCCCTGGATTGCCCTGCTAAAGAGGAACCAACTTAGTGGCAACCATACCAAAACTTGTACCAGCAGCTCCTCTTCCATAGATACCTTTCTACCACAAACGTGATGTAAACACAGCTCCATAATGCAGAGACCACCAAACAACCCTACAAGAGAACTAAGTCACCACTGCTCTGCAAGGTGCAACTACAAGACAGAAAGACCCAACCAAGGGCCCTCAGCCATCTTCTCCCAACACAACATGAAGCAGGAGCCCAACACAATTAGAGCTTCCCCAGCACAGTTCCAGTCCAGTGTCCTTGTCTGGAGCTCCCAATGGCCCCTTGAGGGATCCATGACTTGTTATCCCAGCACCTGCTAGCAAGTCATCCCCCCTCCTCGACCGCCTGCTTCTCCAGCACCCCCCCCACTTCATCCCCAGAGCCCAACGGTAAGACTCAGCCCTGCAGAATACGTTTCATAACTACTTCTCCTGGCTTTCTCAACGCTTAATCGTTTTTTGCAGTCGTCTGCAAATGAGTCTAAGCTTTTGCTATGAGGAAGCAAAGGTATCTCCACCTCCCTTCCTGGTAATTCTGCTAGGGTGGGAAAAAATAAAAGTGCATGTGACTGAGTCGTTAATAAAACATCCCAAATACAAAAACAAGCTAATTAAAACCAGGCATGACCTATTCATAAAACAAGTCCTTTCAACTGGAAAAGGAGAGCAAAATCCTTTGAAGTCAGGCCTCACTATCCAGCAAGAGAACCCTGCCTCCACCGATGACCTCACTTGGAAACTTGTTCTTATCCAACTTCGTTAATGCCTTCCCAATGAAAGCTGGCTTTAGAGACAGCTTGAATTTAACAACTGGCAAAGCATCAGTAGAATGAATTACCCAGGGTGCAAAATAGTCCACCCAGGCCCTTCACCAAGGTTTGGATGCCTGTGTAAATCTTCACGTGTTTCCACTTAGGGGAGACTCACTGTCCCCTCAGCAGGACCTCAGGGCTGGCCTGTTGCACCCTGCTATGAACTGCCACGAGACATTAAGGGCTTGGGTCCAGCAGATGGTAAATGCCAGGACAGGAGAGCCTGTCTTCCCCTCCCTACCCCCCCACAAAAGAAGAGCCATTAGAGCAGCAGTGACACCTTATCTCAGCTAAGGAGAACAGGGTGTGGAGATCCATGAAAGACACAGCATCTGCCAGGAGAGGTGGCAGGAAAAGCAATGCTAATGAGTCCAGTGCTTTAAGGTAATCCCCGGTGAGGACCAAGGGGAAATCTCTACTGCATGACAGCACTGCCTAATTGCCCTGAGTTTCACACCTTCCTCCCACGCACCCTGCTGTGGTCATCACCAGTGACAGGATATTGGGCCAATTCATCTATACGTGGTAACACCTCACACATCATCCCAACCCACTGCTTGAAAGAGCTATTATTTTTTTCAGATCCACATTGAATGGAGCTAGATGCCAGGATAATCCTCTTGATTAGGCTGGTTCCTCTTATATTGGATTGTGTGACTCAGAGACTAGGTGAAGCTCAGCAGTCCAAAGAAACTATAGAACTAGCTAAGAAAAGGCACAGGAAGAGCCATCGGGGAGTGTCTCCCAGGCTCCAAACACAAAGGAGTGCTGAGAAATGCTAGGATAACCACAGAGTTCCCTTATGTGCAGGCACCGCACAGAGTTCATCTACGAGTTCATCTGGTTATAAGCAATGAGTGGCACAACAGTCTCCACTGGTTTCTCAAGCTAAGAATGAATTTGTAGGACATCCATCCCTTCTGGGCACAGAGGCTTATGAGACAGCTCCAATGAAAACCATTCAGACCAAATGTCTCCTCATGGCATAGTAACACGCTATTTTGGGAAGAGGGGACATCTGTGATTATCTGGAAAGAGACTCGCAGACAACCAGCCCTCAAATTACTGCTGATTTCTTTCTTTAGATCTAGATCGGCAAGAACAAACTACTACACCAGATATTCTATCCCAGCTTGTTACTTTTCCTTTTAAATGCCAGCTGGTATTCCCTTAGATCCCAGGGCGACTAATAACATATACAGACAGAGACTGCTTCAGCATCTCCCTTGAGCTCATCCCCAGCCTTGATCAGAAGAAGGGAAGAGATCTCTCCTCAACAGTATATAGGAAGAGGAATAAGTAACAATTTACTAGACATTAGGAGGATCAGGGAATAATCAACGTTTTCACTACGCAAACTCATCTGGTACTCCAGCAGCTGCCAGGCCACACATCACACATGGAGGAGAGGCAGCCAAACCTGGGTAAGTCAAAGCAGCTGTTTAATGACACAAAGCAAAGTTCCTTGATTAGGCGAGGACGGGCAGATAGAGCCTCTATCTAACTGAGAACACCAGGGGAATACAGAAAGACAGAACTTGCTGAAACTACCTGCATAACCCTAACCAAACCTAACTTCAGGAGAAACGCCATAGGATTTTCATGGCATAAGCAATAAGGGTATAAACATCAGCTCTATGGTAAGAATGCTCTCCAGCATGATGGGGCATGGGTTTTTTTCAGGGAGGAAAGACAGGGGACAGCTCCACCTGCTGAGCCATCAGCACCACTTCTGCAGGTCCTAGGCATACTCAAAGCATGAACATAGGAAGGGCTGTTATCTCCCCTGCAACCTGCCTTTTAAGGACCAAGTAGTGCTTTGCCCAAGGTCAGAGAGCAGTTCATAGGCCGAAGATGTGGTTCTCCTGAGCACTTGACTGGTTACAGAGTGAGGGACACAGTTCTGACATCGTTAAATGCCACCTCAGGAACAAATAACGAACAAGCAAGGGAAGTCCGTGACATGACGTTCCCCAGCGCTAGCAGCTCCAGAGGGCTGCGCTCCTTACATGGTCCTAGGCAGGTGCAGCTGCTTTGCATTAAGCACTGTCACATATTTGCACAGCACCAGCTGTTTTCAGGCTACTCTGTCCCCCTTATCTCTCGGACTGGGGCACAGTACATGCAGGGTCATCTCTGCAGCTCAGCTCCGGGGCCTCGGCAGCAGGTTCAGAAGCTACCTGAGAGGAGGCAGAAACGAGAGGCGGCAACGAGAAGCCGCAAGGGCCTGTGGGAACCAGCCAAACTGGGATTTGCAGGCCTCAGAGCTGGCAAAAGCACAAGCAGGTGCTGAGCGCCTCTCCGTGGGGAAATGGGTTATCTGCCGAAAGCCCCGACCTCAGCTTTCTCCGTCCTTACAGCCAGCGGCTGGTTTCAGCCACCCACACAGAGCAGTTATTTTTTTCAGCCATCCGCACGCAGAAGCCCCAACAGGGCAATGAACTCGATCCACCTGCCCCCATCGGAGGGGGCTGCGCAGGATTGCTCCCTCCCACATGTTTTCCCCTCCGTATCATTTCAGAGCTGTTTGCTCTTGGTTTGTCTAAGGCTCACATCCCGTCTCGCTGTCTCCAGCCCCCCGGGCCTGTCTGTGCCGAGCTCTCTCAGCTTGCTCCAGGCCTGGTGTCGCAGGCTCTCAGCTGCTGTTACCTCAGATAAACTCTTTCTGTGGTTACCAAGCAGGCAGGAAGAGGAGGAGAGGAGCCTAGGCTGCTGAAAGCAAATTGTGAAAGAGGCCAAATTGAGGTGAAAACATGCTTGTGAAAAAGTCCCTCTAAATCTTCTGTACATGCTTGGGCCACCCTGCAGGTGTAACAAAGCTTCCTTTCCTCGGAAAACCTGTGCGCCCTAAGGCGAGGAATACATTCTCGATTCAATCACTTCAATTTATAGATTCAGTTTACCCAACCCTGTTGGTTTCTCCCTACTGTATTCAGCAGGGCTTTTCCCCATTTCAAACTATTAGAAAGCCTCATTGCTGGAGACCTGAAAGACAACAGACCATGCAATGCCGCCTCCAAGCTTGGTTCATTCTCAGCCTCTTTAAGTTTGGGGAATCCTTACGTTCAGCCACAGATCTGTCGGGGGCATCCCTGACACGATCATCACTGCTGAGCCTAACT